TAATAATAATAATAATAATAATAATAATAATAATAATAATAATAATAATTGCTCAATTTATATTTGAATTTTATGCACTGAGTTAAAAGCTTATTTTGAGTTCAATTTGTTTACCTGCAATACTGTATGTGGTTCAATTGGGAAATTTGACTTCTTCATCTTCAAATATGATATTGCCGTCCTGAAACCCTGGTAAAGGACAGGGTAGAAATACTTTTGATAAATAAATAAATACATATTACTTTTGTAGGGGGTGCAAACATAAACATTTTCTAGGGGTGTGAGGCATGGAAAAGTTTGGAAACCACTGGTTTAAATGACCCTGCACCTCAAAACAAGCCTAAAGGTCTCGCCTGCCATCTGTCTGTGACTGGGAGACTGTCCCTCTGAAGAATAACAGCCGCTCTCCCCAGTCAAAATACTCATTCGCACAACATACAGGAATGCACAACGACCTCCAAAGGCCACGGCAAATACAGAGCAGGCCCTCTGCGCTCAGTCCAGCATTTGGCTTCCCCGGATGCAAAGCATGTGGCTCCATAGCCGTTGCAGTGTCCTGCCTTCGCCAAAGCTTCGCCTGTGCCTGGAGCGCCATGAAGAGTGCTGCCCAGCATCGGTCGTGGCCGATGCGTAGGGGAAAGGCGCTGGAGCTGCCCACCCCGAGGTCCTGTGCGCACAGCCCCGGGAGCAGCTTCTGCGAGCTGGCCTGGAGGGGTGCCTGCCTAGCACTGCACTGCATTCCTATCCTGCCTTTTTCCTATTGCGAAACACAGGGCAGCACACCCAGTCCTCCTCCTCCTCCTCCTCCTCCTCCTGCAACAACCCTGTGAGGGAGGCCAGGCGAGCAGTTGGTCACTGGCCCACCCGTGCGCTCTAAGGCAGAGTGAGGACGAGAGCACACAGGGGAGCATAAAAAACTGGTGCCGTGCACCCAAAATAACCCAAAATTATTAAGTGCAGATTCAAGTTTAGCCATGGAGATGTAAGTTTAGTTAAATATGGATTTCATGTACAGTGTTCTAAAATACAGAATGCAACATGAACAAGAGAGAAATGTTCCTTTTCTCAGTATGTTTTAAATTAGACTTTGTGGTAACCATACTCACAACGTTCTAGCTTTTCAACTTGTCTACATATTTTGGCTCTTCTTCATGCATCCTGCCCTTCACAGGGCCCTGCACACCCACAAAGCTTTGAGCCAGGCTGAACTAAATGCCAGTCCGCAGGGGAGGCAGATTCCTGGAGTCCTAAAAACTCTGTTTGGGCTGCCCAGGACCAACTGGCACACCAATCTCGCCAGGGCAGTGCATGTACCGAAAGCTCTGGGCTGGGTGGGACTTGGCGTCATCTTGTCTCATCCGAGAACTGGCTGGAAAACAAATCCCCAGACTCAAAATGTGTTCAGAGCAGCCTCATGCCTTACTCAGAAGTGAGGTCACTTCCGCCGGGTGGACCTTGGGCTTCCGGTGTCGGGGGTCTTCCAGCCCAGCCTCTGCCGTCTTAATTTGCTCTGCAGTGACTTGCTGCTGTGCCAGCATTTGTCACAGAGCTCCCGATCCATCTGCACAGACGCCTGCTCCTGGCTACCCCACGCTCTCCTCATTTCAGTCCCCTAATTTCTGTGGGAAAGGGCATATTGTTGTGCGAACTGAATGGGAGTCAGGCATCCTCACCAGTCCGCAGCACGTAATCCAGAGCCTTCTTCCAGTACGTCCCATTCCACCTTCTGCCATCCCTGGAGCAGGCCGTGCCGAAAAGAGCCCTCAGTCTTGCAACACGCTGGCAGAGGGGCCCTGCCGCCAGGTGGACGCCACTGAGGCCCCTTCCCTGGTGAGAGTGCGCAGGGTCCCATCTCCCAGAGGCAGCAGGACAGAAAAGCCCTCTGTTTCCCTTGCGAAACCGAGGCAGTCCTGCCAGATGCCCCAATCTCGTGCCTCCCACATGCATTTGGACTGCCACGTCCAGAGCCCCCACCAGCACAGCCCCAGGACCACCCAAGAGCCCGAGCAAAGCACACCTTTGCCCAGCTCCTCAGGACACTTTGCAATGTGGGAGGGCTGAGAGTCCCCAGCTTTCCAGCTGTTTCCATCCATGTTAACCCCCTCCCACAAATCTTTGCTCTTAAACGTTGTACTGGGCACCTGTTGTGCTCGTGCCCTCTGGCGAGATGCCCAGGTGCTCACCTTGGTGGGACTGAGAGCTCAGACTCGGAGGATGATGGGGAGCTGGCGGAACGAGACAAGGCTCAGAGCTCACACTCCGATAATGGGATTGTTGTTGTAACAGGCAGGCCTGCACCCACAGACTCCGTCACGCAGGGCCAGTCCAAGCCTGCTCTGGGCGAAAGTAGCTCAAGGACCCCCTGGGGCCCAGTCTCCCCACCTGTGGGAATGGAACAGAAGAAGGAGGGGAGGGAGGAGGCTTGGAAATGGGCAGTCTAGATGGAGAATGCCAGTCTCCTGAAGACATGGACCCTAGGGCCTGTCGTCACAGCCGCAGGCTGGCCCAATTAGGGGCTCAGAGCGCAGAACACAGGGGCGCCCGATTCCAGAGCACCCCTCATCCCCAAGACAGGCCCCAAAGGGTTCATAAGCAAAGCATTGGGCAGGTAGGGGTAGAGAGGGGTCAACATCTCTTTGCTTGCTCAGAGGCTTGTGAATGCTAAGAGTCTCTATAAAGAACAAAGAGGCTTACAAGAAGTGCTGGAGGGGATGCATAGCTCAGATAGCGTTCAAGAGACAAGTTTAGTTATCAGCCCTGCCGCCAATGGAGGTGCATGCCACTTCCCCTTGTGCTTTGCATCTGCAGAACTGCTTGTTGTTGTTATGATGTGCCTTCAAGGCATCTCCGACTTATGGGGACCCTATGAGTGAAAGCCCCCAAAGTGTCCCGTCCATGACAGCCCCGCTCAGCTCTTCCAAATTCCAGGCCATGGCCTCCTCTAGGGAGTCCACCCGTCTCTTGTTTGCTCTTCCCCTCTTCTTCTGCCTTTGACTCTCCCCTAGCAGGACTCTCTTCTCCAGGGAGTCTGGCCTTCTCCCCTTGTGCCCAAGGTAGGACAGCCTCCGTTTTGTCAGTTTGGCCTCCAGGGAAGCTCTGGCTTGGCACATTCTGCCACCCGCTTGTTCATCTTTCCAGTCCAGGGAAAGCGATGCCCTCCTCCAGCGCCATCCTGCTCCAGCAGCGTTGCTAACACACATCTGCTACATATTAAAAAAATAAAAGACACCGTACGGTCCAGCCATTTGACGCCTAGCTCTCATCCCACTTCTTCTATGAAGCTGACCAGGTGACCTGGGCCAGTCACCGTTTCGCAGCTCAAGTGGCCACGCAGGGCTGTTGGGACACTGCAGGGAGCATGTCCTACCATGCGCTCCTTTGAGCAAGATGGGATATGCAGGTGTAATTATATGTATGCAACCTACATGGAAAACAAAGTGGAAATGTATTTCCATAACAACCTCTGCCTACTCCCCCACATCATGAGTGGGGACAAGGTGACCACAGAGGAATGTTGTCACAGTTCCTTTTAATTTCGCTGGGGATAAATACTGGAGAATTTCCCGCTGAATTGTGCTCCGTGTTGTTTAGTGTCCATGCTGCTGCCAGGATCTGGGGCTTGTTAGGGGTGCAGAGATGTGCATCAAATCACCTTGCCTGGATAACTACAACCAGCCAGCCCTTCATTCCTGAGGCAGCCAAGAAGATCAGCTTTGGTGAAAAGCTTACAGGAACCCTGCCCCTTTCAAATACGCCTCTGCCTCTGCAAAGAGCTAACTGCAGGAAAGGTTTTGTTCACAAAAGGAGCATAATGGCCACAAAATTAGTGCCTGCAAGAGGTCCCCTGCCACTTTGCCTTTTTAACATTGGCCTGCCAGGATTCCAGTTCTATCCAGCTTCCAGTTCTATCCAGATTCCAGTTCTATCCAGAGCCTTTTCAAGGCAGGAGAGAGATTCGTTTTCCAGTCATTTCCCTGGATATGGCCTCGGGGTTCTTTGGTACCAGCTGCTGTGCTGCAAAGAAGGCAGCTATTAGGGTGTAAAATGTTGCCAGGAGTTGCCCAGGCTCAGTTCTGTAAGATCTTTTGAAGGTCCAGCTCAGTCAGCAGCCTCCCAGAAACAAACCAGGTACGGATTCTTCCTTCCCATTGGGCACATGATTCCTCTAATTAATTAATGCTGGAAGGGGCAAAGAGAGGCTGCGAAGCGCAAACTGCTCATGGATATAGATTACACATAATCAATTTTAAAACTGCATTTTGGGAGCTGAGGAGTGAGAAAGCAAATGCTTCACACGATGGCAACTGAGTTGCCCAGTTAAAGCAGTGTTTTGTGTATTAAAAACAAAAGTCAGTTTTTTTCCAGATTTTCTGTTTCCTTTTCAGTGTTGTGGCAAAGATTTCACTTCAGGGCTTCACTTCAAGGCTTTGGCCAGCAAGCAGGACAAGTCACGCGGGAGAGCCTGCTGCCTCCTCAGCTTGTGCTCCGCAGCTCCATCTGGACCAGCCTGCAAGCCAGTTCCAAGCCCAAGCCAGCCTGGACCACCAGCCAAGCGGGACCCCTGCTACTGCCTGCCTGAAAGGCAAGCACACCCTGCTGGGAGGGAGCCGTGGACCTGATGGGCTACCGTGCCGTGCCACAGGTGGGGAGGCTGGCAGGAGGGAATGCGGCTTTTCTGTCCTCTGCACGCTGCGTGGTGCCTCGAGGACGTGGGCTGCACCTGCTGGTTGCCCCTGTATTCTGTAGACACTTTCCACTGGGGGTTATAAAATTCGTCATCACCATGAGAGCCCGGGTAGGCATGCAGAGCACACGCCCACACAAAGGCTCGGCTAACTGCATTTTCTTCCCCTTTCTTTTCAGCACCGGAACCCTGTGCCCA